GAAATATAAAATAGTGTTATACTAATATTGTTATATTAATATTTAAAAAATTGAAATTCCATTTTTTGACCAATTAAATGCAATGGAACTATGTAGAAATAATATAATTTTGTGTTGTAAAAATTTTCTTTCCAACGAGAAGATTAATTTGGAAGAATATTGACGTGTGCAGTTAAAGTCAGGCCACGAGAACGACTGCCGAATGAGAGCCACTGAGTCGTTTACAATTAAGCAATGTAACCGAGTCGCAGACGCGTGGAGCGTCGTGTGTGGTCCCGGGTCTCCGGTCCCACCTCTCTCTTTCCACTCTTTCCGCTGTAGTACCACCACTCCGTGGCGGTGTCCCCTCCACTTAGAGGCTCTCTTCGGCTGCTCGTTTCCTCCTTTTTGCTCTCTTTCCCATTTACTCCCTTGCCCTCCGCGACTCTTTACCTTCTGCGCTCGATCCGAAGGTGGTGACTCATCTACCTATTGGCTACTACGATCGTCCGGGAATTCCGCGTCGTCGATCGTTCCCGGCTGTCATAACTGAATTTTCAGAGAGGCCGCGTCGTCGGTTTTAATAAAAAATTCTTTATAAAGTCACTCACGTTAAAGGTGACTATATATAGCGAGGACTTATTGATAGAAACGCGATAGAACGTGTGCTGCGATGGTGAGAATTGAGCAGTTGGACGGGACGATGGTACCAAGCCATTCTTATTCATAGATAAAAGAAAAGTTTATGAAAATATTTAATGTAAAATATAACTGTCATCGTAGTTCCTTATCGCGCGCGTTCTCTATAAAATAGAAATTCTAAAATTTTATATTACTTCAGAGTAGATAGTAAATAAAATTTATTTCATAGAAACAAAATTTACTTTCATATCCAATATATATATTTAATATATTCAAATTGTATCAACGTGTTACGGAATATCATTACTCTTAATAGAGATATTATCATGGCTTGGTTCATCTTTAATTCGAAAATAGCGGTTTGGTGAAACTCGTCGAAGTGGGTCCTACCACGCTGTTCTGCTATTAGATAGAGCTGTGACATGTTAAAAAAGTTTCAAAGGAGACGTGTGTTTGGAGTTTGGACTTGTCCGGAGGCGCGGATGCGTTAAGCTGGACATGACACTACGAAACTAAATACGGTTCTTCGAGCCCATCGAGCCTCATGATTCTACGCGACTCAAAAAGTGTCACAAACTATCCTACGTCGTGGGACTCTCACTTAATTCTCGTTAAGATCGATCTTATCCGGATCGGATCAATAGCAATATGATATCGTCTTACAGACTTTCTCCCCTATCCGTATTGGGTTGCAATTAAATCGGGATAGTCATGTGAATTTCCTGACATAAATGAGAAGGTTCTTCTCTACTTTTTACTTTATCTTTCTGTGCAATAGATTTCATACTAATTGTGAATTGATAATAAAGTTATATTAAAATTACAATGTAGATAGACAGCTAAATATCTTAGCAACAGCATAAATAATTGATACTAAACCAACTGATACTCTTTGTAAATCTCCATGTTACTATTTTCAAAGATGAATAACATTAGGTACTTTGCAACTTTGTTGAATCAAAGTCAATATATTCTTTAATATAATATACGTGATATGTAGGCTTCAAAATATAAATGTCACTAATTGAATAATTTGTAAATTATAATTGCAATTGAATTTTGATAATGATATTATCAAAGAATCCAAACGAGGATATTAATGTAGAGCTGCTTGGATATTTGCGCCAACAATGAGCACCACTGAATACTAAGCGAGAGGTAGCGATACAGAGAAGAAGATAATGGTAGCTTTCTATCGCTACTTTTCGCTCAGTATTCAGTGGCGCTCAGCAGCAAATTATCACAAATGTGCAGATTAATCGAATGATAATGATAACATGCATATACTAATGTGTAATAATAATTTTATCTGAAACTATTTCCATAAATTTAATATTTATAATATGCAAAGTAATATGATTAATATGTCTTGAAAGAAATAAACTTATGATTTAGATGATTAACATTTTTTTTTCTTTCTACTACTTGAAAATAGCAGAAAATTTTATATTCAATTGTTTGAAGAAATACTTCTTCATAATGTCACCAACTTGTTCACGAGTGTCGTCGCTTCGCGAAAAACGAAATATGGATTCTATAACGAGACAATTCGCGGACCCCTCGTACCCTCCCCGCGTTCCCCGTAATGTTCTGCACGGTTAATGAAGAGTTCGCCATATCCCAGGATGGCAGCTGACGTTGCATTCATGCATGAGAGCAGCGCGTCCCAGTCATTTGGCCTCACGTGCGTCTAAAAACAAGGCAACGCGCAAGTTTTGTCCCGTCGATGCCCGGGTAACGCGCCTTTCATGGGGCCCGGGCCAGAAGAAAATTTTGAAGGGGCCCCCGACCGTTGGCCCACACATCGAGTTGTCGGAACATGCGGATTGAGCCATTAAAGCCTGGTTGTCTTTCGGGGAAATTCGCAGGACAGAGAGTTCGTTATTGCCGCCGCGCGTCTGGAGTCGCGCGTTTAACAGTCTAGACTATGGGATATCGAGAGGGAATTGCGATGTATTTTTAAAGCGAGGTAAGGAGGGACATCGTTTATTATACTATAATAAAATAGTCTAATAATAACGTTAATAATAATGTTGCTAGGTTTTTTTCCATAATATATGGATACTTATGATTTAGTTTCAATTTTATCATTCTTATAAAATAAACATTTTTAGATATTCAAGGAATGCATATCATTCGTGATGAGTTTTCAAGATTCTTACTTGCAAATTTCTAAGCAAGTTAAGAATGATCGAAAATTAAAAGTTTCAAAATAGCTTGCAAGACTGTTATGATTGGAAAAGTCTTGAAAGTCTTGAATGTGTTAAATATTTTGAATAATATAACATACACACATATACACATAATTATTATAAGTATTATAAACATTTAAGACTGTTTAAAACTTCCTAGAATTTTCAAGACTTTCAATCATAACAGTCTTGCAAGATGTTTTAAAACTTCTTGATTTTCAGCCTTTAACTCAAGATATCTTGAGAAGATTTGAATCCCATCACTATATCATATTCATTTTTCGTAAAATATTTACAATTTTAAACATTATAATTTCGAGGAATAATAAAAAAATTGGAAAATAACAAATTGTGACATTATAGAATTAATTTGTAGTGAGCATTTACTTAAAAAAATGTATGTATTAAAAAATAAATAAAATTCAATAAATATTAAGTTAAAAAAACCAATTCTTAATTTTTTCCATGTATAATTAACCCGCAATTATTCGCACGAATGTGAAATATATCCCAATTGTTTAAAAATTTGAGAAAGAAATAAAAACATTTCTCTTACTACTCAATTCATAAAAATATATTAGAAATATATTTTAAAAATTAATACTTTGATCCTCGTGATATAATGTCACATTATAAAACATTATAAACATTATAAAAATATAAATGCATGAGAGTGGCTTGAAAATCGTTGTATGTTACAAATTTAACAAATATGAAGTAAAGTACTATGAATAGCTCTTAAATATGAATGTGAGTAGCATTTTTACTTTCTTGTAAAATTTGTAAAATGTTATACGTTGCGTTAACTGAACCAAAAATATTATAAACGTTCATTTTTAAAAACTATTCACAATACCTTACTTTACATTTGTTAAATTTGAAACCACCCATTTTCAGCCATTCATTCAAAAATAATTGAAAAATTACACAATAAAATACTAAAATTCACTCACCAGTCGATGTCCCGTCGTTGCGATAGGTTGACTCTGCGGTTGAAATCCTTTAGTTCCTTAAATCCTTATCGTTGTAATCCATAGTTTAGATTCAGCAGCCAAGTCTTCTTTTCTAATAAATAACAAACAATGTATTAAACAATAAACAAGAAAATATTTCTTTGCCATTTAATGTACAAAGAAGTTATATATCATGAAATTAAAATATTCTAAATAAAGAAATAATTAATTACATAATATGATATTCAAATTTACTCAGCATCCAATGTTTTGCCGTTGGAATTTGTTGCTCCACACATACACTTACATAGCACTAATTATCACTTACGATACCGGCACTTACTAAAATTTTGAACGCGATCATTACGCTCACTGCATTCTCAAATGAATAAATACCGCGAAGCACGATAATCGCCCGTAATTTTGCTCGACACTCTCGTCACTACCAACACTTATAAACAATTCGACGAACGATACGACGGTGGATACAATTAGCGACAAATGACGACGAAAAATAAGTTAGGAATGGAACCGCGATTGTTCGCGCGTGAAGAATAAATTGGCGGATTCTCCGTAAGGTTCACTCATTGATCGAGAGATTCAATATTACTGAAAGTTCTGAAACATGACATCACGAAATGGCGGCCGTACGCGTCACTTATAAAAGCCAATGTACACGATGCTAGAAATTGATTCGCGAAATGTATAACCAATCAACTTGCATTTTTTATGCAAAAATGGCAATTTTATTGGCTATATGTTTCTCGGACCGATTTTTAGCATCGTGGACATTGGCCTTAACAGTGCTGGCAATATAAATATTTATGATCGCTGGATTCAACACTCGCGACACCTCTGAGAAACGTTTGAAAAGTTAGGCAGACTGGGCAATTTCATATCGATGCGCAATGACTTGACAATTAATATACAACTTGATGCGATCAACGCGATTGATTGTGCGAATGTTGATAATTGTAATTGTACGCGCTAATTAATACTTTGCGATATTCGCTTGTCATTCAACGAGCGACTCTTCTAAGATTGGCTAGCCAGATTCTCTTTGATCGGAAAAAATACGTGCGAAACGCGGGACTACGCTCACGGAATCACTCGCGGGCAGCGGTAAAAGGAAGATCGACACTTCTGCCACCTTTCTATAACTAATATACAACTGCATACACAACTACATGACAGCCAACCTAAATAAACCTTAAATCAAGTATACATTTAAGAAATAAATTATTTTAGTTTTTTATATATGAGAAAAGACGATTAATTATATTATATATAAAAAAATACGTTTATGTTTAATACAAATGGTATATTCCAGATAGTTAAATGTTTGTAATGTTGATAGATTTATTATATATGATACATTAAAATTTACCTTACGTATTTACTTACTTACTTGCAGTTAATCAGATAACGCGATGCAAATCGACACGGGGTGAAATATTTTAGAATACATTTGTCTATCTCATAGTGCAGCATCATTCATGCGTGAAAATGGGAGCATTATACGAAAAGTGTGGTACATATAATCAATTATTTCCTTTGTTTTCGCGAGAGATACTATCTTAGCGACACGTGTTTCCGTGTTTATCGTATCAAGTAAGCATTTGGCTAAAGAATTTTTTTTGTGCGCGACGCGTGTTTCCAGCAATCTCTACCTCGCGGTCACAGTGGGCGTCTTGTTTTGTTTACTCCGTGACGCTTCGTAGTAAGAAGAAGGTAAATAAAGCGCCGTGTTTCTCTGAATTTTTACTTGTCGTATTACGCAGCCGTCCTCCGAACACAAACTAACCCGCATAATTCGACGTACGTGAATAGTACAATATGAGGAATGTCGCATCTTTTACCTCTTGTACTTGCGAGATTCACGTTTAACTAACAAGTGGCGGGAATATTGAACCAAGTGACTGCAAATTATCGTCGTAAGGTGTTAATTAACATGTAATTAATCATTTCTCCACGTTCGCGCGAGATTTTTCGTGTTTTTCAATACTCACGAGCATTGTAAGGTATTTCGCGCCTTTTTTCTCATTTCATGATCTTTATATTATTATTTATTCATATAGTTTGAAATACGCAATGAAGTAACAGTCATAACGAAGTAACGTTCAGTTCGTTCAAAGATGGCGAGGGTGTTGGAAGCAAACGAGCATCGTGCTGCATTTCGTTCGCAATTTTTCTTGTTCGAAGTCAATTTCGTACGCAAATGAGTATCGCCAATGTTAAATTCAGTGGTGGGCAATTGTTATACAATGTTAATTAGCCCGTACGCTCGCTTACTAGTCTTTCGGCTTTCGTAAAATCAGTCGCGTCAGTCGTATCGAGTCGGACAGTATTTGCCGAATCATCGCGCATCTATACGAAGTTGGTTCGTCTCGTAAAATTTTTAAATAGATTTTGCAAGTGTCGGCAGGGTTGGTAACATCGAAAGTGTCGAATTATACGATCATCGTGGAAAGTAAATCAGTGCGTGCAATCGCGTTTAAATTTTTAACCTATTTTTCGACATTTATGAAATCGCGCGCATAATGTTGTGTCGGATCTTCAAGTATCAACGTGAATTGCGTCTAGTTTTTGGATTTTACGAAAGTATCTCGGAAATGATGGAAATGTCGAGTAAAGTTACAATCAATCGTTGTGTTTCATGTTATTTATTCGTTCGACAGTGAGCATCATGCACGCGAGCGGGGTCAGAAATGTCGAATGCATTACCGGTCGATGTGATAATAAAGAATGATGATAATTAGCTCTGTCAATGATATTCGTGATCGCGATATTTTAATTGACGATACTCTATCGGATATCGCGATGCTGAAACTTTCATGCCGCAATTATTCTCGCTTATAATAAGCAAGATTATTTCGTAATTGTCGTATTTTACATTGAAGTGTATTGCGCTTGTTAAATTCGGGAGTGTCGTAAGAATGGCTCGGTTGTATTGTGAGTGTAATATGTATGAGAAAGTGTAAGTGTAAATGTGTATGTGAAACAACGATAAAGTCAAATTGCAACGAAGGTTGGTGAATAAATTTTAACATTATATTGCATGACTTAATATTCTTTTTTGTTTATTTTTTAAAATATTATTTGATATCATTATAATAATTAAAATATTAATTTTTGACTCATTTTTGTGAATTACATAAAAATATTTTTTTATTTATTTGTACTAAAGTTTTATTAAATTCTATTTATTTATATCAAGTTTTAAAAATAGGGAGCCATGCAAATGTGTGTTCGGAGCAATGATGGAGCAAACAAATGGCAATGACGGAGGGAATAAATGGCAATGATGGAATGAACAAATGGCAACGACGGGACTTCGGCTGGTGAGTAAATTTTACTATCATATTGTATAATTAAAAATTTATTTGTTAATTTATCTTAAAATATGACCAGAATATTATTTGGTTTTTTATTTACTTGTTTGAATAATCACTAATATAAAAGATAAAAATAATGCAAATATTGCACATATATTAATTTTATAAAGTTTTGTAAATTTACTGCAAATTTACTTTATAAATTTTTCTTATCGTGTAATTTTAGGCAAATTAGAGCGCGTTTAATAATATTTCTACACACAGTTTATAGATTTATATTGAGATAGATTTTAATGGGAAATTATTGATACGTTTATTCTATTTATTTCACTTTGCACTTTTGTTAATGTTATAATATCAATCATTTAATTTTACATATTTATAAAATATGTTTTTATTGCTTTTATTGTTTATTGCTCACAAAATTCACAAAAACAATATTCACAAAAAGGAGATTGATTATTCAATTAAATAACAAATTTGTGTGATCTATATTTTAATATATGGTATTAATATACATAAGAAATAATTAATTTTCCGTGCATTTAACATAGAAAAACGTAAAATATGTGTTTCATTGCTCGGTACTTATTAAACAATAATATGCAAATTAATTATAATATTATTTATGGAGTATTAAAAAATATTAGAGTATTAAAATAATCCAATAAAATCGCCTCAATAATAATTCGCGTAGAATAAATAACTAGGCGTATGCATGCATGTGCACTGCGGGATTTGCTCTCTAAAAAATGCTTTCGATTGCAAGAGTATCTGATAAGCACAAATACAATTAACTTTTTTGTAGGAGTTTCGAGTTTTATCTTAAATTAAAAGGAGATCTCAAAGGATGATCGATCAGGCGATAGTCTGGAACATTTTTTCTTTATTAGTTATCTTTGTACGGAATCAGGTACTAAAAAGAGATCGCAGAAAACGCAGATTTTCCGTAGAAGGGAAAGAGCCGGTGGTGAGAAGGTCGGCGGCCACCAACGCGCGAAACCTTTCCGAGAGAGATAATTTATTGGTCAATCAAAATGACGCATGGAGGTATAAGGTGACACGTCAGCGTACACGACTGACCATTAATTTTAATACCCGTCAGCATCAGATCCTCCGATGTTACTTTCCGACGTTTCCTCTCTCTCGCCCGCCCGCCGACACCGGCGAATGCGTATCCATCGGCATCGGCTACCGTACGACTAATGCCCCGTTCGCCAACGACAATCATCCTTTGAGATCTCCAGTCTTGCGCTCGATCTCTCACGGCCGCCACGAATTATTATCCTCCTCTTAATCCCGGCATCGCCGAGCGTGAGCGCCGCGCCGACCAGGTGAGGCATAACGCCGGAGAAAAAGAATCGCGCCGCAGAGATACGATCGGTTTGAGGCTGCCGCGACGGATATATCGGTACCGCGCTAAGAACGCGGCGAGAGGAATGCGAGTGCGAATGCGGCGAGTGCGCGACGGTGTCGATTGATAGTGTTCTTATCAGCGTACCCTACCATTACGCATTAGCCTATTCGTTCGCGGAGATCCGCCATAGATTTTCTCGCGGTTCGTTCTGCGATACGGTTCTCACTGTTTGGATAAGAATTATCGGAGCTATAAATATATATATATATATAATAGATACTA